AAGAGGCCTTCACTGAAATTTTTATGTGTGGTGTGTGTGTGTGTTTTCGTGTGGGTTGCAGAAGGGGCTGCGTGTGCGTGCACCTGGCCTACTGCATTATTAAAGCTCAGACGCTCGCTCGCAGAAAAGGGAAGTTTGAGAAGGAGGAGGTGGAGAAGAAGGAGCAGTTGTAGGACTGGGGAGTAAAAAGGGAGAGGAGAAACATTTGTTTTGACTGGAACGTAAGAGGGGGCTTGCCACATTTTTATTGAGGGAAGAAACGGTCAGTGACACAGGGGATCAGAGGAGCAGTCGAGTCATGACGGAGAGGAAAAAAAGAGGACAACCATGGTCGATCCTGACAGCCGGAATATGAAATTATATTCATAAGGCGAGATAACATAGCTCCAGCAACTCTTAAACTCTAAAAGTTATCTGACCTGGTGACTAACTTTTACACTGGAATCACATTCTGCTCGCTTTTGATTTTATGCACTTTCCCCATCCTCTCTCATGCTGAAACAGAATGTTCTTCCTTCACTACAACATGTGAGGTGACCTCCTGACCTCCCTCACCGCCATCCAACCCCCCCCCATACATTCTGAGATGGGACATCAGTGCGTGCACAGGCTTACTCCCATAGAGTGAGAAATCCCTGGTGTACACCACCAGCACACCTGACATCCTGCCCGAGGCTCACGACAAAACCCCCTCTTTAAACATGGATGAGTCGGCCCACCATATCTCCCTCTCTTCTGTCCCTTTCTTTCTCTGTCTCTCTCAACTCTGACGCAAAGCCGAGAGCAGCTGCTTCAGTCCGTCTCAATAATTCAACAGCGAAGCGAGGGATGAGGACTGTGAGGAGCAGCGAGAATGGAAGTGCGAGTGAGGAGGCGGATGAAGAGAGAGAGACACCAGAGGAGCGAGGCATGGAGAAAGAATAAAGAACACGGGTTCACAGGGGAGGTGTGCGCTTAAGGTAATGAGGGCGCCGGCTGATCTTCACGCAAACACACACACATGAGTCTGACAACTGTGTCCCACTTCAGTACCCCAACCCTCTGACTGGACCAGCCAGCGTGAGCATTTGCTGGTCTCCAAACCCGTCCACTTTGAGGAATAAAGCCATACGCACACACCTGTGCAGACCTCTTATTTACCTCTAGGTTACTCAGCTGTAGTGTAACAGCAACTACCATTGACCATTAACACAGCACAGGGCTTTAAAACCACTGCATCTAACAAAGTTTATTGAAAGCATGCACGGGGTCTTAGTTGGCTTTGTTAACGTCGACCATCGGCAAAGGAAGTTCCCTGCAGATATAAGCCTCTATTTCACAACTGATGCACAGAAGTTTGGTGAATTCACGTATCACATTCATTTGAAACCCCTGCGGATGATTTTGAGCGTTGCTAAGCGTGCGGCATGCCTCTCCTGAGCGAACAACAGGCATCGAGACGGTGGCATGCAGACAAAGGGAATGGAGGGCTACGGCTCCCCAAGCTAACACAACCTAAGCTTCCTGACAAAACCAGCCACGTAAAAAAAAACACGTATGTGGGTGTCCTACAACAAGCGGTGGCGGCGGTTACAAGCAGTCCATCCCCCGGCACTCGTTCGCACAACTCGGGGTGACTGAAGGAAAATCTGTACGGGCCACAAAAGTTCTGAGGCGCAGCTCCGCTCGCACGGAGAACGTAGCGGTGGCTCTCCGCTCACCGAACGCACACACATGGATACAATGTAGCCAGCGCGTTCGGAGACAAGAGTATCACCGTGGAACGTGGAACAATTCTAGAACACGTTCCCTGTGCTATTTTGTGACAAAGCCCCAAACAGCTGTATTCTATTTTTACCTGCCGCTGTAAGCGGGGCGACACAAAAGCCAGCTAGCTACAATGCACAGCGTCACTCCGAATGCATTGTTCCTCAACACTGGGGCGAGGGGGAGAGATGGGACTAAAGTGGGACCCCCATCTCCTCACCAGGCAGTTCAGCCTCGAGTGCCAAATTGTAATGCGTTATTACTGCAAACACGTGCAGCAACGCTCCCCCTCGTCGGAGAAGCGGTGCAACTTTTGTCGCCTCAAAAACTGCCGCTCTCCGTTTTGCATTAGAGAGAAACAAGAAAAGACAAGAGTGAAACTGGCAGTGTAGCTAGCAGCCCGGGCTAACTTAGCAGCCATGCCTGTGTAGTTAGGAGGATGGAAGAGGCACCACGACACGCAAAGTGGCGAATACAGCGAATAAACTAACAAAGCATCACTTTTGCGGCTTGCATGCTAACAAAAAAAATAAATAAATAAATAAATAAAAGAGCTTGCTGAGCGTGCGTGCTCCTGCTGAAGTGACTGCCTCACATCAGTTAGCAAGTTTAGCTACCTAGCACACTCTTCTTCTTGGCTGGATCTGTGTTGTGACAGTGCAATAATTTACTTACTTTTCTCTTGCTTGGCTATCGGAGGGGACCACAGCTCCTTTACCCTTGCCGTACATCTTGGACGCTGTTCTGATACTTTATTTTATCCCACTCGACACCTGTCAAAGAAAGCTACCAGGAAAACCTACTATCTCCATAGCTACCCAGTTAGTGTTGTCTCCCTATTTCTCCCTTGCGCTCTCTTTGCTCCGGTTTCCTTTTTTTCTACATCCCCAACATTGCCCACAAATCAGGCAGGGTTTCAGCCGGGGGGAACTTGAAACAGTCCACTGGTGGAGCTTTTTTTTTTTTTTTTCAATCGCTGTTCCTGGATTCAGCTCACGCCCCCCCTGTTGTGAGACGGTGGGGGCTTCTTAAAGCTACAGTGTCTACAGTTTTTGTCGACTTCGCTCAAGTTCAAGTTCTCTTCTGGACGCCTTCAAGTTCAGGCCTTACATTGCATTTGTGTTCACATACAGTGTCAAAATAGCCAATACTCATTGCTGTTATTGTTTTTAAACTTTTATTTAACCGTGATATGTTGCTATGGATATGTATCCTAATGGTACGTTTCATTGTTTCTGTTTTTTTGTGCTAATGTCACACCGTAAGGGGCACTTGATTGGCCCCAATGCCCACCAGGGTTGGCCTGTGTGCCCCTGTGTTCAGCCCAAGTACCTGTCCTGTAGTGGGACCTTAGGACAACTATGAGCGTTAACCTTTAATCCGCACACAGAAGAGGTGCCTCTCATTAACTCTCACCCCTGATCCTCAGATAGCCTGTGCACACCACTGATTGAGGTTATTATGTTACCTGATTATATAACTGTAAACAGGAGGCCTTAAGAAACTTTATTGTCTTTCTTTTTAATGCAATACTAGGCTATTGCTTCCCAACCTGGGGTCCTAAAAGATTTGCGAGGGATCCCCAACTAATTTTATTTTGCTGCTATTTAATAGTTTTATTTTGTTCAACTATTCAATCTGTGAGGGAAGCTGAACATATTTCTGTATCTAAATGAGGTCTGAGGTCAAAAACTACGACTAACTGAACAATATGGACGTATTCTACAGTTTTCGTTCATCTTTATCTGTTTTTACAGCATTCATTGTCTTGATTTTAAGGTGGCCTTAATCATTTACTGTAATTTAAATGCAAATATGTCATTCAGTATCTTTATATCTCTCAAAATGCAGTACATCAACAAACATAATAATACATAACACAACATGTAACAACTGGGAAACATTGTGCACAAATGATTCTTGTTTCGTTGCCTCAGAGTGATTTAATTCTCAAAATGTCAGCCACTCCCGAACAGTTCCTACAAATGCTACGTTCAAAGCCAACATTTATACCCAAGAAACATCATAATATAGGATGCCACAGCTATTGCAAATGTTCATGTAGTGTCCAGGTATGCCGTTGGCTCTTGGTAGCGATGCATAAGTCTGTGTCATGTCCCTTTAAGAGTGTGTAGAGGGCAGTTGCAGAGTTTGTGTGTGCACATGTGTGTGTATATGTGTGTAAGGCAGGGACAGGCAGTGTGTTCTGTTTTCGTGCTACTAGCTGTGGGAAGGGCACAGCTGACTGTCTGTGTGCGTGTGTGTTTGTGTGCACGCCGGTGTGTGTGTATGTGTGGGGAGAAACGCACGTATTTGTGTGTGTGTGTGTGTGTGTGTGTGTGTGTGTGTGTGCAAAAGAGAGAGAGAGAGAGAGAGAGAGAGGGAGAGAGAGAGAGGAAGAGAGAGAGAGAGGAAGAGAGAAAATACATTTCTGTATGAGTGTGGTAGGGCTTGTTTTTTTTCATGAGAATACAAACACCTCATGATGAGCGGACATAATATAAAAGAATAGAGGAATAATGGAGGAAGAAGATAGAGAAAGAGCAAGAGTGAGGACTGTTATGTCGGCAAGAATTTTCCTTGGTGAACTGGTGTATGTGACGTATAGCAACGCAGATGTACTAAAAGACGCACTAGACGCACACTAATGTGATTTTACAAGCGATTAACTGTTTCACAATATTCATACACTGAATTATTGTTAAACTCACAATCTCACTCAAATGTGGCGCAAGACAAAGTAAGAAAAACATCTAGGAATTTTCTCTTCCTTACGCATTTGTTTTGTTCCAGTTTGTTCCAGAGAATAATCACCAGTGACTGCTCTCGTTGTGTAGTGTTATTTAAAAAAAAATGTGTTTCAGACTTCGTCCACACTAAACTGGCTGAATTTGAAAACACGTGTCCACTCCGACGTTTTCAGGTTGTTTTATGATAGTCTCCGTCCACACTGAAATGCCAAACACATAAAAAATAAATACATTTCTTCACTTTTACTGTGTTTGTTGACAAAAACTGAATGAGCATAAAATAGCGATTGAACGTGGCTCATAAAACAACCTGGTAACCAAACAACGTGTCATTTTTGTGCCTCTGTGCTGTCAATCAAATGAGTATTTTATCATTGCAAAGTCTGACGGAATAAAGTTTGAGGGTTATGCCATTATTTTTCAAACCCATATGTCTGCATCCACTCTAAGATATGAGAAATCTAAAAAATGCTGGGTTGAAGACCACCTTGGAACAAGCTAAATTTCCGGGTGTGAAAACGTCGACGTATGTTGTGCACAGAGCGCCACAACGGTGAAATTAAGATGCATTTTCAAATTTAGCCAGCTCACTGTAGGTACTGTCAGGGAGCAAGAGAACGAGGGAAAGAGAGAAAGTGATGGTGTAGGTATCTTTTAAGCTCTAGACCACAAACTCTATCACTGTCTCATCATAGCACCAGTATTGATCCGAGAACCCAATGATCCCCGGGAACACTGGCTCTTCCTCCTTTGCACAGAATAAACACGAGCAGCATCGCCGTGTACTTCTCTTTCTCTCAGTTTCTCTCTGTTTTATCAAATGCAGATGAGCAGATAAGGCTGTTAGTGTTTTGTCCACATGCTTCATTCCTGTCCATTCATCTGTTTAACCTTTGCTTCATCTAACACCACGTTCCAACATTGCTGGTGCTGTTGTATATAATAACTGTATTTGTAAAACACATTAGTCCTTTGTACAACGTATAATAGACAGTTTTGTAAATGTGTAAATGTACAATTACACAGTAAGTTCAACATGTCATTAAGTGTGTTTCCATCCACCGGTTCTTATGTGCATTTTCAATTTGTGCATTGAAAAAAAACCTGAATGGAAACGTTAAAAATTCAATAAAAAAAAACTTGAAATGTCCCAAAAAAAATGTTTTTACACACGAAGTTGGTGTATCAACAAAAGCAAAATGTGAAAAACGTGCATGTACATGAAGGATGTGACAGAAATGTTCATCAAAGCCTCTGCTGCACTGAAAATTATAAACATAGTGGCAGATAAAAACATCAGCTGTTCTATGTAAATCTGGTTAAAATTTGCTTATTTGGATGAAAACCGCGTTGTAGTTTAAGGTTTTTTTCCCCATCACAGAGAAATGACATGGAACTGATTTAAAATCAGCCTTTGTACCTTGTACTACGTCAATAATGTATTACATTAACTGACCCTGGATCTGCCTTAAATAATTCAATCACATCTCTGCTGAGAGGATCTTGTGACTGTATTTCACAACTTTCATTTAGTATGGTTTCAGTGTCAAAGAGTTTTGTTAGATTAGGTTTATGGCAGAGAAACTGCTGTACCTGTAACCAGTTTGTGTCCTGAACCTTGGCACAGATTCATATATTGCAAACTCACTTTTGGTTGCTGTTTGTATTTGAATGTACAATAGATGTTTCCCCGAAACACTACAACTTTGGAGTTGGAACTTTGGTTTTCAGCACCTGGAACTGCTGCCCTCCAAACTTCCATTATGATCCCCCTCTCTCCATCCCTCTCTCGCTTCTCCCTCTGGTATCTCTCTCTCCATCTCGCCTCATCACTCCTTCCTTCTCTTCCACATCGTCGTCCTCTCCTCTGACCCACTTTTCTGCCTTCTCGCCACTATCTCCCTCTGTTCTTCCTCATGCACCCACATCCTTCATCTCTATCTCTCTCAATCTCTTTCTCCTCCCCCTTCCATTTCTTTCTCCATTTCCGTTCTTCCCCTTCTTGTCTCCTGCTCACGTTCATACTTCTTCACCCTCATACTCCTCCTTCTGCTCATTCTTCTGCTTCTTCTGAATCTCTCTTCCTTTTCTTCCTCTCCTTTCTGCACCTTCACTCTTACTCTACTTGATCTCCATCCTTCCATTCTTACGCAGTCTTATTGAATATTCCAATTGCTCATGTTCTCTCCTTCTCTCAGCCTTTCTCTCCATCTTTATCTGCTGCATTCTCAATCTCTATCACTCCACTACTTTTCTCTCCTTCCTCATCCTCCACCTCCTTCCGTTTTCCTCTCCCTTGTGCCCCTCTCCCTCATCTTTCCACCTTGCCACCCCCCTCTTCCCTCCACTCCTCCTCCTCCTCCCTTCTCCTCTTTTCTCCTTCCACCACCATGAGTCATTTCTTGCACTCTGTGCTCCCCTCACTATGCCACAGAGCCACTCAGGACAGACATTCATCTGCGGCTGAGATGATAGATGCTGCTCACCACAGCTCCAGCAGCCAGTTAGCTGGAGGTGATGCCTTATGCATTCAGATATCACCTGGCTAGCTGTAGTCTACCGCTTCAACCAGGATCCAACACACACAAAGGGACTCAAGTTTACACACACACACACACACTGCGCTGCCTGGTGTCTAAGACTGCTGGCTCTCTGTGGAAAGAGAAAGTTTGGTGCATGCACAAAGGCATGATTAAGCATATTTGCACTTTAAGTGTGCATGCAATAGTGCTGGAATGCTTTTTGTGTGTGTGTGTGTGTGTGTGTGTGTGTGTGTGTCTGCTGTAGATTGTTAGGTATGTAAATTCCAGGGGAGTTAGGTTAATTGGGTCTGAAAAAGAGGTGGGTGTGTCTCTCCCCTCTATGACAGGCTTATTTACATAGCAAAGCTGTAATTACCCTAACGAAGCCCCTATCCTATCAGGGAGAGTGCACACACACACACACGCATGGACACAAAGACACGCATGAGCAATCCCCAAACAGGTTTGAGCTCAATCATGCCAAACCTGTATTTTTCATCACTCCAGATTCCTCTCAGAAGCATTCCATTCACATGTTCATTTCTAATTGAATGGCATCCTTTGCAGTGCCAATCAGTCAGTTTGTTGGAATTTCTCTATCAGAGCTCATTGGGCTTGTAAGAGAG